TGAAGGTTAATTTGAAATAGTGAAGGTTTTTGTGAAAGTTGTGCATGTGATGAGAAGGGAAATAGGAAAGGGTTGAAAGGAAGAGAAAGCCAGCAGCCAATAAGGCACTGGAAGGGAGGACATCCTGGCAGGTTAACTGGAGAGGCAAGAAGGGAGACTTAGACTCCAAATGTTTTTTTTTTTTTTTTCTAACTTAGAGGAAGAGGACTGACAGGACCAGGGCTCCTTTCCATTAAGCCCCCATGGGTAACCTTACAAGTGAGAGGCAAACATATTAATTTCCTGGTGAGCACTGGGGCAGTTTATTCAGTCTTGACAGAGCCGATGGGACCTCTAGGAAGATATCAATCCAGGGAGCCACCAGACAAACTGACTGTTTTCCTTGGATATCAAGAAGGACTGTGGACCTAAGAAGGAACACGTACTGGAGGCACACAGCCGCTGAACTGGACCAAAGTGGAACAATGGGCCTTTGAGGAGCTAAAGAAGGCTATCGTCTCAGCACCTGCCCTAGCCTTGCCAGATGTCGCAAAGCCCTTCCACCTCTACATGAGTGAGGTAAGGAGCATTGCCAAAGGTGTTCTCACTCAGACTCTAGGTCCCTGGAAGAGACCTGTTGCCTATCTGTCTAAGAGGCTAAACCATGTGGCAGCAGGGTAGCCAGTGTGCCTCTGGGCAGTGGCCACCACAGCATTGCTGGTGAAGGAGGCAGATAAGCAGACTCTGGGCCAGGAGCTAGCCCTAACAACACCCCATGCCGTTGAGGCCCTCCTTCAAGTGCTCCAGAGAGATGGATGTCAAACACCAGAATCACTCAGTGCCAAGCTCTCCTCCTGGACCAGACCTGCATCCAGTTCCATAAGACACTGGCCATCAACCCTGCCAGCCTGCTTCCAGATGATCCAGAGGAACCCATTCATGATTGCAAAGAGCTAACAGACACAGTACAGACAGATGTCCTGCCGTCATCACCAGATGAGGTACTGTACACTGATGGGAGCAGTTATGTTCAGGATGGGATATGATATACAGGGGCAGCAGTAGTCACCATGGGCCACACCATTTGGGCACAGTTCCTGAACAGAGAAACATCAGTAAACTTTTGGCCTTAATCTAGGCCCTTTGATGGGGACACTGTGCCATCCACCGGGAAAGAGGGTTACCAACTCCAGCCAGAAAAGACATTATTTTAGCCTTATTTGAGGCCATCTGACTTTCAAAAGCAGTTGCAATAGTATACTGCAAAGGACATCAGAAAGGGGAGACAACTGAAGCCAGAGGAAATATCTAGAGTCACAGACCAAACTGCTAAGAAAGATGCCCAAAACCAGTGGGGCCTTTACAAGTCTTAGTAACCCTGCTGGACCCCGACCTACACCAAACAAGAGAAGGAATTGGCTGAACAGAAGCAAGCCATCAAAGGACCAGATGGTTGGTGGACCCTACCAGATGCAGACTGTTGGTCCCAGAGGCTCTAGGTCAGACGTTAGCTGCCCAGTTACACCAGGTTACCCACTTAGGTGTCACCAAGACTTTTGAACTTCTGTGAGGCAGATACTACAAAGCTTAGGTAAGGTAAAAGTATAGTCACTAGAAGTACTGTCTGTGCACAGGTAAATGCTAAACAAGGTAAATGCTAAGAGGGTCCCCCTGGGAATTCGGGCCCAAAGAAATTCCCCAGGAAAGCATTGGGAGGTGGATTTCGCAGATATTAAGCCACCAGCATTGAGGTACAAGTACATACTAGTTTTTATAGACACCTTCTCAGATTAGGTTGAAGCATAGGGCAGAAACTGCCTCTATAGTAGTCAAGAAATTACTCCAGGAGATTATACCTAGATTCAAGCTGCCAGTAGTCATAGGATCAAATAACAGCCCGGCCTTTGTAGCAAGGTATATCAAAATATAGCTCAAGCCTTAGGACACACATGGACAGTACTCTAAAAAGTTTAATTAAATTTATCCTGGAAACTGGTGAAAATTGGACCAACCCCCTACCCTTCGCCCTCTTATGGGCCATGTGTACACTCTACCCAGAGAGATCCCCTCCCCCCCTTTTGAGATCATGTATGATAGACCTCCCTCCATCCTTCCTGGGGTCAGGAAGAAACTAAAAGCTAGAATTCATAACCATTCCCTTGCTCAAGTCCTTACAGGCTCTGCAGTTTACCCAGAGAGCCACGCATAAATGCATTGTTCCAGATACACTGCCAGTGCTCCCGTGGACCCTGTACACCCCTTCCAGCCCAGAGACTCTGTGTGGGTAAAGAAGTTCACTGCCCAAGGACTCACCCCAACCTGAAAGGGATGCTACACTGTTATCCTGAACACACCCACGGCTGTTGAAGTAAACAGCACTCAAACCTGGCTACACCATTCCCAGCTCCTGCACAGAAAACAACTTGGATCCTGGCAACCAGAAGCCTCACCCATGAGATCCCTAGCCTGGGCTCCACACAGGCCAGGAGGAGACTTGATGCCTGCAGGAGGGGAATTGGACTTCAGTGGGACAGTACTAATGGGAACTGTGGTACTAGGGGTTTTGGTAACTTTAAGAACATTTTTTTGCTAGCCAGTGAGAAAGTTCAGGGCTAAGTAAGACTAAATGTGCTATGAAACTAAAGAACTAAAGAGTAGAGAATGCCCTTAAAGGAAATAGGATGAGTCACTGATTTGACTATGCACATAAAACCAGTGGGGAATGAAATATAGTGGCAACCATACTTTGGTAAAAACAGTTGTTTGAATTTTAACCCTGCTAAGTCTGGCTCTTGCATCTGATTAAAACACTGGATGGAGACCTGGAGGCTAAGGCAATTTTCCCTTGCCTGGGAACAGGACCACAGGAGATTTATTCCTACTGACTCAGTAGCTTCAGGGATAGAAATTGTAGATAACCTTTAGAGACTAACCGCTGAGCTCTGCTTCTATGTTATCGGCTATTGCAAGATAGGGCCACATGCCAATGTCCAGCAGAATGTGACTGGGAACCAACCCTGTGGGCTATCCCCAGTCTTTAGAATTTAGTCTTTAGGATTTAGAATTTAGAACAAAGGAAAATTCCTGTGGTTTGAACCTTTAAAAGGGACTGCCTACCCCTGAAACAATGCAGTCGTATGAGACCACCTGCATGTGGTGCTCTCACGGCTGTCCTGGCCAGTTATTTCAATAAATCCTTGCCTGCTTTTTAAATTAATCATCAGCCTCCAGTGGTCTTATTTTGAACCCAGATTTCGACCCCACAACAAGGTCTGCATTGAATGCCACTTGGGCTGAACTCAGCCCTGTTTTGGGCACCAGCACAGCCAAGGATTCAGTGAGCCTGAGGGAGGGCAGGTGAAGGATGAAGACAAACAAAGAGAATAAGCTGGGTCTAGTGGATCTTCTGTGCCTGGCTGAGGCCACAGAACAGATCCAGACTGCAAGCTGATGGTTTATTTTATAGTCATAGGTAAACCCAGTAATTTACAATGTTCTTGTAAGTTTCACTTATTTTAGCAGCACTTGCTGCACCTCCCACAGCCCATTAACTACCCAGGAAAGATCTAGAGAGCAGTCACAAGATCAAACTTAATTATGTTTAGAGGACTGTACCCTCCAAGTTGGGACTTGTTTGTGACTTTGCCAGCAGGTCAGTCTGAGGCTTAACCCTATAATCACTCCCAACAGTTCACATACATTCTGAGTTTCCCCGAAAATAAGACATCCTCCGAAAATAAGACCTACTGACAGATTTCCTTCTGAGTGAAATATAAGGCATCTCCTGAAAATAAGGCCCCCCTAGGCTAAACATGAGAGATTTGGTCCAGTGATTCTGAAAGAAATGGAGTCACAAGAAATTTACCAGGAAATTCAGGAATTGGATTGTTATGATGATGTTCCAGAAGATGATGACATGATTGTCAATGAATAAATGAGTAAATTCTTGATACTGTAGGATTCAGTTTGTCTGGTTTGTATTGACAACTATCATACTACCGTACCATATACAGGTAATAAATTTCCTTTATTTTCATTTAACAATAAATGTGTACCGTATTCTTCTTCATGGAAAAATAAGACATCCCCTGAAAATAAGAATTAGCGCATCTTTGGGAGCAAAAATTAATATAAGACACTGTCTTATTTTCGGGGAAACAGGGTGCTTCTCTTATGTGAGAGTGAAAGCGCAGGGCGGGGCTAACTTCTCGGAATGAGAAGGCAGGGTGGAACTCCTGGTCCTACATTTTGTAACTGGACCCTTGAGAGGGCAGGGCGGGGTGAGAGGGCGGGGCGGGGGGAGGGTAGCTCCCGGTAACTGGACCCTAACCCTAACCCAACCAATCAGGTCAGCCAAGGTAGTGGCACCACCCTCCTTATAAAACCCATTGATATGTTAAATTCTTTCTCTTTTTCACCATGCCCTCGCTGGTATAAGTGGGACTGAGCTCGGACTAATCCGAAATAAATACAGGCTTTCTGCAATTGCATCGCATTTGGCTCCCTGGTATTAATAGTTTCTGGGGTTTATGACACTTGGGTATTACATATGGGGCCTTGTCCGGAATCTCCAAGACTGAGGGACTCTGAATCCGGAGAGCCTGTCTGGCTGCGGTAGAAGTGTGTGAAGAGATCCCTGTGGGAAGTGCCCGAAAGGTCTGGTGGATTCACTATTGAAGGCCACGGGCCGGAGAGATCAAAAGACGTTTTGATCCTCCTTTAAGAGGGACATAGAATTCCCTCTCAGGATGAGGTAGTTGGCATGAGGCCGTTGTTTAGTTTTAGGCGCTGCTTCCACGGAGTTGGAAGGCTGTTCTTGGGGGTCCCCGTCTGTTCCTGTGTTCTTTGTTTGTTTGTTTGTTTGTATAAGGGAAAGGTTTCAGTTTGCTCTTGTTTGTAAATTTGCTATAAAAACTTAAATCTGAATGTATTGAATTGTTATAATACTGAAAATGTTGATGTGGGGAGTTCTTCTCCTGGTGGCTGTTGTAATTTTATGTGTTATTTTATGGACTCACTGTATGGATGTTATGGGACAGACTCAGGTTACTCCTTTGAGCATTGTGATTAATCATTTTCAGGAAGTAGAGGAAAGAGCTAACAATTTTAGTATGGAGGTCTGGAAGAACAAATGGCAGACTTGTTTTTCAAGTGAGTGGCCAGCTTTCAATGTTGGATGGCCACCAGAGGGAACATTCGATCTCCCTACCATTCTCCGGGTTCAGAGTGTCATCTCTCAACCCAAGACAGGTTACCCCGATCAGCTCCCATACATTATAATGGGCAGGACCTTGTGGAGAACCCACCCTTTTGCTTAAGCCCTTCGTGGCTCTGTGCCCCTCAGAGCCAGAACCTATTTTTGCCTCACAGGGAACCGAGAGGACAGAGAAGAAAATCACCCTGCCATCAGCTCCCCCCTACTCTGTCTTGCAGGGGGGAACTGAAGAAGAATTAATTTTTCCTCCCCCGTATCAGTTCCCTAGGGTGCCGGGGGAGAGACCTGACCCTCCCCCATTAAGGGAAGCAGTCGCCACAAGGAGAGTGGGAAGCCCGCTGTATACCAGACAAAGAGCCCAGAGGGAACAATCCACCTTTGTCGCCAACTCCACTGTTAAGACTTTACCCCTGTGAGCCACTGGTCCCCGAGATGAGAGGGGCAATCAGCCCCATCACTACTGGCCTTTCGCCACTAGCGACCTTTATAATTGGAAAGCTCAAAATCCTGAGTTTTCTGAGAAGCCAGCTGGACTTATTAATCTGTTGGATTCTATCATTTTTACCCATCAGCCAACCTGGGATGACTGCCAGCAGCTCTTGCAGGTCCTGTTCACCACTGAGGAGAGGGAGAGGATCCTTAATGAGGCCTGGAAGCTGGTTCCAGGCATGGATGGGAATCCTACCACCAACCAGGCTCAGATAGATATCTCTTTTCCTCTGACTAGGCCTGAATGGGATTTCAACACAGCAGAAGGTAAGGAGAGGCTCCAGGTCTACCGCCAGGCTCTAATGGGGGGTCTCCGGGCGGCTGCCAGAAAGCCGACTAATCTGGCTAAGGTAGGGAGCATTCAGCAGGAGAAAGATGAATCTCCAGCAGCCTTTTTAGAGCGGATCATGGAGGCATTCCGCTCCTATAACCCCATGAATCCAGAGGCTCCTGAGAGTAAGGCAGCTGTTATTGTAGCCTTTGAAAACCAGTCTGCTGCAGATATTAGGAGAAATTTGCAAAGAATAGATAGACTGGAAGAGAAGAGTCTGCAGGACTTGGTGGTGGTGGCTGAAAAGGTGTATAATAACTGGGAGCCCCCAGAAGATAAACAGGCTCACAGGCAGACCCTAGACCTGGCTAGGATCCTGTTGGCCACCACTACGGACTCCCCTGAGAAACGGGACCTCCACCTCCGACAGCTTGCAAACGATCGAAAGAAGGGTAAGGAGACCTCCGGGGAAGGAAAGTGGAAACTGCAGAAGGATCAATGTGCATACTGCAAGATGATAGGGCATTGGGCTCAAGAATGTCCTAAGAGAGGCAGTGAGAAGGAAAGCAAGACAGACCGAGTAAAGGTCTTGGGGCTTGATGAACTGATTAGGGGAGTCAGGGTTTGGACCGCCTCCCTGAGCCCAGGGTAACTCTTACTGTGGAGGAGACCCCTGTTGACTTCCTTGTTGACACCGGAGTGCAGCATTCGGTCCTCTGCACTCCACAAGGAAAACTAACTAGAAAAAAGTCCTGGGTGCAATGGGCAACTGGTATGAACCAGTATTCATGGACTACCCGAAGAACAGTGGATTTAGGGATGGGCCGGGTAACCCATTCCTTCATGGTAATACCAGAATGCCTCTACCCACAGTTAGGACGGGACTTACTGACCAAGATTGGAGCTCAGATAACTTTCAGACAAGGGGGGCCTCAGGTCACCGATGGCGAGGGCCACCTCATCCACGTTCTGACTCTGAGGCTAGAGGATGAGTACCACCTCCACCAGGAAGCGCTCCCAAGGGGGGATAACATGGATAGATGGCTACGAGAATTCCCCACAGCCTGGGCTGAGACAGGAGGGGTAGGACTAGCTGCTCATAGGACCCCAGTCCTAGTGGAGCTAAAGCCGGGAGAAGGTCCGGTAAGGATCAAACAGTACCCCATGTCTCAGGAGGCCCAGGAGGGAATTCAGCTACATATCCAGAGACTGCGGAGTCTAGAGGTGCTGGTTCCCTGCCAATCTGCCTGGAACACCCCCCTACTGCCGGTCAAGAAGCCTCACCCAAATGACTACTGACCGGTGCAAGACCTACGGGAAGTAAATAAAAGAGTCATGGACATACACGCAACTGTCCCCAATCCATACACTCTCTTGAGCTCCCTGGTGCCCACCATAATCTGGTATACTGTATTAGATTTAAAGGATGCCTTCTTCAGTCTGCCGCTAGCACCCAGAAGCCAACCCTTGTTTGCTTTCAAGTGGCATGATCCAGAGGAGGGCTACAGCGGACAACTCACCTGGACACGACTGCCTCACCATCTTTAATGAGGCACCACACAAAGACCTGGGTGAGTACAGAAGGGAGCACCCTGGCCTCACCCTCCTACAATACGTAGATGACATCCTGATTGCTGGGGTATCGGGCATCGGCGAAGAAGGCACAGATATGCAGAGAGAGGGTAAGTTATCTAGGGTACATCTCAGAGGGCGGACAGTAGCGATTATCAGATGCCAGAAAAGAAACTGTCCTAAAGATCCCCACACCCACCTCTCGAAGAGAAGTGAGAGAATTCTTAGGGTCGGCCGGCTACTGCCGTCTCTGGATTCTGAGTTTTGCTGAGATTGCCAGGTCCCTGTACGAAGCTACCAGAGAGGGGAAAACATTTGAATGGACAGAGAAAGAGGAGGCTGCCTTTAATCAGTTGAAAAAGGTCCTCCTACATGCCACGGCTCTGGGACTGCCAGACATTACAAAGCCCTTTTACCTCTTTGTAGATGAGTGCAAAGGGGTATCGAAGGGGATTTTAACTCAAGCCTTGGGCCTTGGAGCCATCCAGTAGCTTACTTGTCTAAGAAACTAGACCCAGTGGCTGCCAGCTGGCCACCGTGCTTGAGGATTATTGCGGCAACAGCACTCCTAGTGAAGGATGCTGACAAGCTAACTCTAGGGCAAGAAATCTGGATTACAACCCCCCATGTGGTTGAGGGAGTTCTAAAGCAGCCACCTGATGGATGAGTAATGCACGCATGACTCACTACCAGTGCCTCCACCTAAATCCTCCCAGAGTGCGGTTCCGCCCCAGTGCAGCCCTCAACCCCGCAACTCTCCTGCCTGACCCCGACCTAGATGTCTAGCTACATGACTGCGCCGAGATCTTGGAACAGGTGCATGGACTCCGGAAGGACCTGATGGACCAGCCCCTCTCAGATGCAGAGGCCACATGGTTCACCAATGGAAGCAGCTTCATGAGAAGCGGGCACAAGTACGCGGGGGCGGCAGTAGTAACTGAGACTGACACCTTATGGGCAGAGGCTCTGCCATCTGGAACGTCAGCCCAGTGGGCAGAATTAATCACTCTGACAAAGGCATTGACACTAGGGGCCGGGAAACGACTCAATGTCTTTACAGATAGCTGATACATGTTTGCCACAGCTCACATCCATGGGGCAATCTATCAGGAGAGAGGGCTATTGAGTGCAGAAGGAAAGACTATAAAAAATAAACAAGAAATACTTGACTTGCTGGCTGCCTTATGGCTCCCAGCCAAGTTAGCCATCATCCACTGCCCAGGACACCAGAAAGCCAACAATCCTGTAGCCAGGGGCAACCAGAAGGCTGATCAGGTGGCCAAAGAAGTAGCCCTCATTGCAGTCCCTGCACTGGCCCTGCAATTGCCAGGCCCAGGGAACCCAGTTCTGCCGGATCAGCCCGGATACTCCCAGGAAGAATTAGAGCAAATCAAAAGCCACCCCACGAACAAGGAAGTCAGAGGCTAGTGGTATGCTCCAGACGGGAAGCTCCTGCTACCAGACTAGCTTGGGATCCCGATGTTGAAACACATACACCAATCGACTCACCTAGGGTCCCAGAAACTAAAGGATTTGGTCCGGCATGCTAAGATCAAAATTCACCAACTGGATGCCAAAATAAGTCAAATTGTATCAGCCTGTAAAACTTGCCAGCTTACAAATGCAAGGGCCGGGTCAAGTGGAAAAGGAACCCGGCTCAGAGGAACAAAGCCCGGGGTGCACTGGGAGATTGACTTCACTGAGGTAAGGCTGGAAAAGTATGGCTATAAATATCTTCTAGTTTTTGTAGACACCTTTTCTGGATGGGTAGAAGCATACCCAACTAAGCATGAAACAGCCCAGACGGTTGCTAAGAAGCTACTGGAGGACATTCTACCCAGGTACGGTTTCCCAGCTATGATAGGATTGGACAACAGCCCGGCTTTCATCTCACAGGTAACACAGGCAGTAGCCAAGGCTATAGGGGCAAATTGGAAATTACATTGTGCATATAGGCCCCAGAGCTCAGGACAGGTAGAAAGAATGAATAGAACATTAAAAGAGACCCTTTCTAAACTAACCATGGAGACTGGCAAGGACTGGGTGGCTCTCCTTCCCTATGCTCTTTACCGGGTGAGGAATTCACCTTATACACTAGGCTTCACTCCCTATGAAATTATGTTTGGTAGGCCCCTGCCTATCATTCCCAATCTTAAGGCAGAACTGCTAACTGAATTTGACAACCAAGAAATATCTTTTTCTTTAAGAAGGCTCCAGAGCAGGCGTCCTCAAACTTTTCAAAGTGGGGGCCAGATCATGGTCCCTCAGAGAGCTGGAGGGCCGGACTATATGAACTAATTCCTACTGTAACACCTCGGCTGCGCTCACTGCCCAAAAAACCTGGCGGGCCGTATCAGACTCCTCTGCAGGCTGCATGTGGCCCCCGGGCCGTAGTTTGAAGACACCTGCTCCAGAGGGTGCATGAGGACATTTGGCCATGCCTACAGGCCATCTACGGGGCTGGCCCGATCAGACGCCCCACCAATACCTGCCGGGAGACTGGGTCTTTGTCAAAAGACAGTGCCGAGAGACGCTTGAGCCACGTTGGAAAGGACATCGTGGTGCTGACGACGCCCACCGCCCTCAAAGTGCACAGCATTGCGACCTGGGTCCACCACACCCATGTTCAGCCAGCTGACTCCTCTGCGATCCGGGAAGACTTCGCCAACCGATGGAGCATCGACCGAGACCGAGATAACCCCCTCAAGCTCAAGTTACGGCGTACTCAACCTGCCTGATACTGGAAATTTTGTTTGTGGCCACTCTAGCTGCAGGAGTCCCCACACCCCATACACTGGTTTGGGGGCGGGGGGGGGGGCAGGGGAAGACTCACTTCTGCCCTGGACACTCCCGACCCCGCTGTGTAGTCTTGTGTCTCCACTGGACACATCTTGTGGACTCCCCCAAAATGTCAGATCAGGGCACTGGGAAGGAGGAACTTTATGCACCCTTCAGAAGTGCAAACGGTCCCATGATTGGGCCTGTTAAGTCTCAAGACAACGGGGGAATGAGAGGGCAGGGCGGGGTGAGAGGGCAGGGTGGGGCGGGGCCAGTTCCCGGTAACTGGACCCTAGCCCTAACCCAACCAATCAGGTCAGCCAACGTAGTGGCACCACCCTCCCTATAAAACCCATTGATATGTTAAGTTCTTTCTCTTTCTCACCATGCCCTCACTGGTGTCAGTGGGACTGAGCTCGGACTAGTCCGAAATAAATACAGGCTTTCTGCAATTGCATTGGATTCGGCTCCCTGGTAGTTTTTGGGGTTTATGACACTTGGGCATTACACCCTAGCCCTCACCCAACCAATCAGGGTCAGCCAAAGCAGTGACATCACTACTCCTATAAACCCCTTGATCTGTTGAAGCTCGGGATCTTCCGCCATGCCATTGTTGGTGTAAGTGGGACAGAGCCCATGCTAGCATGGAATAAAGGCTTTCTGTTATTGCATCAGACTCAGCTCCCTGGTGGTCCTTTGGGATCATGAAATCTGGGCATAACAAGAGTGACAGCAATCTACCACTTCTTTGTACCTGAATCATCCAATCTTAAGGAAATTTCTAGCTTTGCCTTCAAATTCTGTGAACTTAGATGAGTAACTTCCCATCCCTGGGGGACATTCTCATATCCACCATGGTGGATGCAATGGTGACATCACACATAGTATTCTAAACACCCCATACCTTTACCCATTCCACATACATTTCACTTTCTAGTATTGCTGAGCCTCAGTTTCTCTTGGAGCAACTACCTCTCCTCTCTTGTTTACAAGGTTAAGTGATGCTAAAATCCTCTCATGGCTGCAAAGAAGGGGAGCCTAAAAAATTGTTGGAGCACCACCAACCTCTGAGGAAGGTCAGAGGATGCTCCTGGCACTCCCAACAACACCTTTCCCAGAGATCTGGTAGTCTGGACTGCCTATCCACTGAGTGCAAGTTTCTGCAGTTTCTTGCTCAATGCATTTATGCACAATTGTGAAACTGAAGACCAGAGAGGGGCAGGGATAGGCTCAGGCTACTCAGAGGCAGAATGCTAACATGAAGGGAGAGTTTGGCTTTCCTAAACCAGGGCTTCGCTCTGCACATGGTATTTGTTTTGAGATGAGAGACACCCAACCACCAACCTCATGTGGGGTCATTTCCTCTGGGGATACACACAGACACATGCACTCATATCAGAGGAGATGGCCTTATGGCATAAGGTCAGAGGAGAAGTAATTCTTGGGATGGTGACAAAGCCAAAAGAAGAAAGAAAATAGAGACAGCTCCACCACAGGACTGGAGTATCCAGTCTCCTAGAACATAACCAGGATCTATAGCATGGGGAGGGATGGTGGGGGCCCATGGGGGTCAGCTGGCTATGGGGAGGGGCTGCAGGAAGTTGGCCAGCCAGCCCCACCCCTATTGGGGTTGGGGGGCAATCAGGGGCAGGGCCGATTGGCTGGCTGGCCCCAACCCTGACTGGCTTTTTATATATATAAATTGCATCAAAAGATTAAAATACCTAAGAATAAATTTAACCAAAAAGGTAAAAGGCCTGTACTTTGAAAACTATAAGATATGGAAGAAAGAAATCAAAGAAGAATCAAATAAATAAATGAATATATCATGCTCATGGCTTGGCAGAATTAATAGTATTAAATGACCATAATTATTCAAAGCAATCTAAAGATTTAATTAAATTCCTATCAAAATATGAATAGACACATATTTAGATTACAGGTTCAATTCCCTAGTAGAGGAGTGTTCAGGAGGCAATTAATTGATTAAATTATTTCACTAAATGTTTCTCTCTCTCTCTCTCTCTCTCTGAAATTAATAAGCATATCCTCACATGAGGATAAAAAAATTTTAAATTATGAATGACATTCTTCTCAGAACTAGGACACTAAATCCTAAAATGTATATTGTACTACAAATAGCCAAAGTGAACTTGAGAAAGAACAAAGTGGAAAATATAACACTCCCTGGTTTCAAACTATGTTACAAAGTTCTTATAATTAAAACTGTGTGGTACTCACCGAAATTGATTTTGCTCAGTGGATAGAGCGTTGGCCTGCGGACTAAGAGGTCCCAGGTTCAATTCCAATCAAGGGCATGTACCTTGGTTGCGGGCACATCCCCAGTAGGGGGTGTGCAAGAGGCAGCTGGTGGATGATTCTTTCTCATTGATATTTCTGGCTCTCTATCCCTCTCTCTTCCTCTCTGTAAAAAAGCAATAAAATATATATTTTAAAAATAAAACTGTGTGGTACTCACACTAAAACAGTCAAATAGATAAATGCAATAGAATAAAGCTGCCCCATGGCTGCCTCTCAGACATGGCTGGAAACTTTTGTGGTAACTTGAGGGTATGCTGAATCAAGTGATGAAGGCTTAGATCTGGATGTGTTGAGTTAGTATAGTGCTGGGGTGTTGATCTGTGAGTGCCTTGGGTGGGGCCTAGATGAGGCTGGTTGACCTATTTGGAAATGTCTTTTGTGTGAAGTGTATCATTGGGCATGTGGAGGTATTATTGTTATGAGAAAATGCTAAGTAACTGATTCACTATCTGAAAAGGGATTTACTATCGGAGAAAGGGAGGGAGGAAGAGACTGAACATAAATTGTGCACCTATGGATGAGGACAATGGGGGATGGGGAGGGGGCCGAGGGTGGGGTGGGAACCTGGTGGAGGGGGGAAGAAATGAGGAACCTTTGTAATAATATGAACAATAAAGATTGATTAAAAAAAAAAAAAAAAAGACAGATGGAAAAAAAAAAAAAAAGAATAAAGCCCAGAAATAAACCCTCACTTGTGTGGTCAATTAAAGGAGTCAGGAATATACAATGGAGAAAAGACAATCTCTTCAATATGTGGTGCTGATTAACTAAACAATTACATGGGAAAAAATGAAATTGTACCACTCTCTTACACCATCTACAAAAATAAATTCAAAATAGATTTAAGACTTAACTGTAAGACCTAAAACCATAAAACTCCTAGAAGAAAACATAGGTAGCAAACTGTATGACACCAGTCTTAGTAATACTCTTTTAGTTATATACACTTGTGCAAATGAAACATAAGCAAAAAAAATTTTTTAAATGGGACTTTATGAGAGAGGATTCAAGATGGCTGCTCAGGTAGACATCTAACTGCAGCAGCACACAACAATTTCAAGGGAATACAACTAAAATGTAGAGTGGACATCGCCCAGAGCTACAGGTAGTCGACTGACTGAAAATTCTACAAGAAGGAAAGAGAAAACCAGAAGGAAAATCAGAGGAGCTGAAAAAGCCTAAGGTACGGAGACATGCTGCGCGCACGCACGCGTGCGTTCGCCGAGAGGACACAGCCGGAGTGGAGGAGAAGGCTGGGTGCCTGCCTGGCGTTCCCTAGCAGGAAGGAAATAAAAGCTCTGGACTGGGCTGAACCCCAGAACCTGTAGCGCTAGGCCCCAGTTCTGGGCCAGACCCTGGGGACCCAGGCTTGGGCAGGGGGAGATGGGGCTGTGAGGTGGAATCCCAGGGGAGCGGCGAAAAGTAGAGCCCCCGGAGTCACGCACATTGCACGCAGAGGACAGAATGTTGACTCTGATGCGGGATTGCCCTGGCAGGAAGAAACAAAACCTCCGGCGGTGCTGAGCCCCAGTCCCGACTGCTCTGAACCCCAGTTCTAGGCCAATCCCTGGGGACCCAGGATCAAGCAGAGGGAGACGGAGCTGTGAGGTGGAGTCCTGGGGGAGGGGCCAAAGGTCGAGCCCCCGGAGTTGCGCACATTGGGCGCAAGGGAAGGAATATTGACTCTGATGCTGGATTGCCCTGGTGGGAAGGAAACAGGAGCTCCGGCAGTGCTGGGCCCCAGTTTCAACTGCTCTGAACCCCAGTTCTAAGCCAGACCCTGGGGACCCAGGTTGAGGCAGGGGGAGACGGGGCTGTGAGGCAGAATCCCAGGGGAGTGGCGAAAATCAGAAACCCCAGTGTCGCGCACATTGCGCGTAGAGGACAGTCTGTTGACTCTGATGCTAGACTGCCCTCTTGGGAAGGAGAAAAATAGCTCCAGACTGGGAGGAACGCGACGAGGAGCAGGAGCCCCTGCCGGACACCGGCCAGCTGGGCTCCAGCAAGGAGCCGGGCAATGGGGCCCCCAGGGGGAGGGTGCCCCTGGGCCTTCAACCGCTGAGCGCGGGCCACGGAGCCGAGGCCGGGGACTGCTTCCTGGGCAGCACCGACCCCGGCAACAGGCTGCAACCGTGCAGGAGCCCACGGAGAACAAAGGGGTACCCACGCAGGCCAACCTGCTGAGCTTCCAGGACAAGGAGGAAGAAATAGAAGAAGTTTTCAATGTGAAGAAATCAAGTGATAGCAAAAGATAGTAAAATTACTTAAGAAAGAATACAAAGAAGATCTTGAAAAATCTAAGACTAAGTCAGAACTCAATTCACCAGCCAACATTGCGACATAAATGCGTTTCAAAAAATAAAAGGACAGAATGTTGGAACGGTGGCAGCCAGGCCTAGAGTGGCCAGGCACAAGGCAGTGGCAGCTGGGCCCAGAGCATCAACAGCCAGGCCCCAGAGCAGCAGCAGACAGAACCAGAGCAGCAACAGCCAGACCTAGAGCAGTCAGACCTGGGGCAGTGGCAGCCAGGCCTGAGGCGGAGGCGGCCAAGCCCAGGGTGGCCAGTCCAGGAGCACCCAGGCCTGGAGTGGCTGGGCAGGGAGAAGTTGGGCCCAGAGCAGCCAGGTCGGGAGCAGTA